CACCTTTGCAATAGCAGCGGCTCACATCGTGTTTTCACGTGTCCTTCAGCGACACACATCCAGCCCAATCCAGCCCAGCCGTGCCAGGAGCTCTGTTCCTGTGGGCACAGCTGGCACAGCACCCAGGGCTGCTCAGTGACCCTGCAGGGAGGGAACACCCATGTGAAAAATCCCGGCAGGAATTCCCGTGTGAAAAATCCCAGCAGGAATACCTGTGTGAAAAATCCCGGCAGGAATTCCCATGTGAAAAATCCCGGCAGGAATAAATACTCGTGTGAAAAATCCCGGCAGGAATACCCTGGCAGGAATACCCATGTGAAAAATCCCAGCAGGAACACCCATGTGAAAAATCCCAGCAGGAATACCCGTGTGAAAAATCCCAGCAGGAATACCTGTGTGAAAAATCCCAGCAGGAATACCCCGGCAGGAACACCCGTGTGAAAAATCCCAGCAGTAATACCCCAGCAGGAATACCTGTGTGAAAAATCCCAGCAGGAATAACTGTGTGAAAAATCCCAGCAGGAACACCCATGTGAAAAATCCCAGCAGGAATACCTGTGTGAAAAATCCCGGCAGGGATTCCCGTATGAAAAATCCCAGCAGGAATTCCCGTGTGAAGAATCCCAGCAGGAATTCCCATGTGAAAAATCCCGGCAGGGATTCCCGTGTGAAAAATCCCAGCAGGAATACCTGTGTGAAAAATCCCGGCAGGGATTCCCGTGTGAAAAATCCCAGCAGGAATACCTGTGTGAAAAATCCCGGCAGGAATTCCCGTGTGAAGAATCCCGGCAGGAATTCCCGTGTGAAAAATCCCGGCAGGAATTCCCGTGTGAAGAATCCCGGCAGGGATTCCCGTGTGCTGCAGGACTTCAGCCTGCCCAGGAGCCCCTTCTCAGGCTCGGGGATGGTGGGGATGGCCTTGGGCTCCTCGGGCAGGACGTGACCTCTGGCAGGCTGGGTGGAGAAAAGGAGACAGCAGCATTCCACCTGGAAAATTCCCCCTGTA